TAATGCAATCATTTGATTCGTATTTTATAGGTATAATCTTGAGCAACAAGTAACATAATAATTGTTTATAATTTTTTTGAGCAGTAAATTAATCAGAATAAGCAGTATTTTTATTATCAAAGAATTAATCTATTGGCCATTATTTATATAGTTCTATTTTAACAGCATTTTTATTTTTTCTTAAATCCAAATATCTGCTGGATTTTTTGGTTCTCAACTCTTAGCATTATTACCAGGTTCATCAGAAATCCATTGTTAAGGTTTAAAAAAAATTAGAAACTTCCCAAGTTAATAGTAATGTTAATTATTGATATGAAGAATTTTGCCAGGTGGCCTAGTGGGTTATGATGTAAGCTTGGAAACAGAAGGTCCCAGGTTAGATCCTGGTAAAGAACGTAAAAATTTCCGGGTTTTTGTTCGATGAATGATGTGTAAAGACATATGGTAAGATGAATTTTGGAGCTTAGAGATGACACCCCGGTCACCGACAAGCTTGGACAGCCGGGTGCTAAGGATATTTATCCAATAAACAAAAATGAAGGACACAAATGAAAATACGAATATGAAAGCTTGTGCGTTCCCTCCAAGCGACGCGCAGGGTGTAGACATCCATCATGCGAAAAGTAAAATAAAGTTCAAAGCAAAGAAGACAAGGTTAGCAAATTTGAATATTGGTACACTTAAAGGTAAGACGAGTGAATTGGCACCAATGTTGAACATGAGATGGAAAGGTCAGAAGACTTTAATGATTGGAGATGGGTATAAATTGTACTATAATGGAATTGTTAGCAATAGGAACACACCATCCTCAGTCAAGATCTTACCTCCTCAGTAGTAGAAGTCAACAGGATCTCTGATAGACTAATGAAGATAAAACTCTGCATTGGTCAATCAATACTACACATCCTTCCAGTATATGCTCCTCAAACAGGATGAAGGAAGAAGAGAAAGATGACTTTAGAGCTATCCTAGATGAAGCTGTAATGGAAATCCCTAAGGATGACCTACTCATAATAGATGGTGACTTAAATGCTCATGTGGGAAAAGCAAGAGACAGCTAAAAAAAGCATCATGGTGGTTTTGGATATGGAGGAAGAAATGATGAAGGAGAGCACATACTGAAATTTGTGCAAGCCTTTGACCCTGCCATAACCAACACCTACTATAGGAAAAAGACAGTCATTTAATAACATACGAAAGTGGTACAAGGAAAACACAGATAGATTACATGCTAATCTCTCGCAGAAGATTAAAAGATGTGATAGACTGCAAAGTCATCCCAGGAGAAGATAACTCCGCACAACACAAGCCACTAGTCAAAGATTTACACATCTCAAATAAATCCACTTAAAACAAAATATAACTGGAACCATGCATCAAATGGGGCAAATTTAAAACAATGACAGATGCCTTTGCAATCAATGCAAACATTGAAACAATAGATTCTTCACAAGTCAGTGAAAAAATGAGGACAGATCTTTCATCCAGATTAATAGACACTGCCATTGTGGGAGTGAGATATCCCAAATACATTTTTCCTTCGCTCTCTAAAATAGAAAGAGCCGTAGCAATTAGGTCCATAACCTATAAAACATATAATATTTCTTAATTTACACTAACCATACAAAATTCATCCATGAACGACTTGTCGCTATCTAAAAATCTGCAATTCAGATTTATCACAAGAGTCATCAAATTTTTGGCAATTCTCCTTAATAAGACCATCTATTAATTTCAAGGAGTTATAAAAACAGTTCCATCTTGTTATAACCGGTTTAATAAGATATCTTCTCATGTTTTCCTTAAAAATGATTGCACAATTTGAAGATTGCCCATGTTTATTCCACAATAGCTTACATTTAGAAAATTTAATTTTTGAAATGGCTTTAAAATGGACATCGTTATTTGCCTTTTCAATGTCAACACTTGCAATCAGATTTAAAGTGTGTGCTGAACAGGAATGATGCTTGGGTAGGTATACAATACTATCATTATGATTCTCAAATAGATCACATTAGCAGATGAACTATTTCATCATCCGGTTCTTCTTCTTGTTCATATACTCTAATAAATTTTTAGTAAATATATAATAATTTTTTTTACTTGAAAGCTTTTATATAATTTCTTGCATTATCTGTAATGCATTTGGTCACTATTTTGTATCTTATAATTGGTAAAAATTTCAAAGATTATTTTTGCTAGGTAATCAAATGTGTGTTTTTGATTTAGCATTTTACAAGCTAGGCAAGCTGAAACCCTCTCAAGTGTGTCTGGGTGTAGCCAGTGTACAGTCACCCCTAAATAAGAACTTTTTAAAAGGCAATATTATCAATCTACAACAATATTTTATATACCGATGATAAGCTGACCAAAAATCCAAAGTTGTACAAACAATTTCTGGAATACGCAATAAATCCACTAATTTTTTTTGTCATGTTTTCACCAGCAATGTTAATTTTTGATACATGGGTAGGCCTTGATATCATATTTTTGGATGGCTGCAATTTTTTGATAATATTAATAAATGCAGGGCTTTCTACAATTGAAAATGGTTGTAATTCATCAATTACAAAATTAAAAACTAATTCATCAACAGTTGATTGAGTTATATTGATCTTTGATGTAGATGGATTCTGCATATCAATGATTGTGAGTTGATTGGTTTCAATTTTTTTTCTTTTATTACTATTTAAGTTTTCATTTATTTCTTTCAAACATGAGGAATGTAAAACCTATATTTTAAACAAAATATAATTATTTATTACTGAATTTTTTATTAAAAATAACTAAGGTTTTTTAAAAATTGAAGATTAAAAATTTAACTGCATTTTGAATCCCTCACTAAAAAATTAAAAATTGATATTCTGATGGCCAAAGATTTTTCAATTTCTTATTTTTTTATTCAAAATTATTATTTAAAAAGGAATCAAGAAAAATATCTAGGTTCTGTTCTCTAAAATAATATTGCTTCAGTTTCATTATATATTTAAAAATACATAAAATAAAGTTTTTTAAATTCATATTAACTATTTGAAGTAATACCAATAGCAATACTAAACCAAGAAATAGAAGATATTGTTTAAACCCTATACTATATTGAACCAATACCAATATTTTATTAATCTTGAGTTTTTAATGTAGGTTCCCAGCACTATATACTATAGTATAATTTAATTGCTTATATTTTAATTTCATAATTAACCTTTTCAAATATTATGAGAGAAAATTTCTTTAATTAACATATGTTTAAAATAATAATATATTAAAATCACTATCTTATTCTTTAAATTTATTAACAATTTGATATTAAACAAATAGCAAGACCAAAACAAGAAATAGAAGATATTGTTTAAACCCAATACATTAGATATTTTGTTAATCTTAAGTTTTTAATGTAGGTTCCCAGTTCTATATACTATTGTATAATTCAAATGTTTTATATCTAAATTTCTTGATTTAGCTTTTCAAAATATTATGAAAGTATACTTATTTTAATGGTTATTTTATAATACTTATATGTTTAAAATAATAGTATATTATATTAATATCATTATGAAAATCTAAAAATAATAATATATTATTTCATCTTTTTACCTTCATATGTTTTTTTTAAATTGGAACTGCTCGACATCGAGGTTGATATATTTGTGTTAGGACATAATCTACATTTACAAAGTGTCGATTTTGTACCCTTAATTTTCTTTATTGGAATAAAATATGTCTCAAATTGAGGCCATGGAAGGGTTAAATTTTCTTCATCAGAAGAATCAACTATTATAGAGTTTGGCATATATTCTTAAAATAAATTATAATATTGAATAATATTATTAATATATACTTTGAATTTTGATTGACTATTAGTTAGATTAAAATTTGATTGAAAATAACTAGCGAAAATTTAAATAAGAATGAAAGGAATGGTGGTTGATATGAATTAAAAACTCGGTTTATTATTTATATTAAAAATAAATAAAAGTAATTTTATAGCATAATAAAATAGTTTATTTATTAATATTTTTTTAAGAAAAAATTTAAAGTAACGAGTAACGTTTTGCGTTACCGTTACCCAAAAAAAATAAACGCGTTACCGTTACTCGTTACTTCTAGAAAAAATAACGACGTTAGTAATGTCGTTACATTTTTGACGTTACTTTCCAGCACTAATAAAAACATTAAAAATGAATTTCCTGATGTTTTTTTAACATAAAGTAGTGAACATTACTTCTAAGAATAATATTTTAACCAACAATAGAATTGTTTTAATTAAGCAACAATAAACTTTATATCAAATTTCAATATATGAATGTAAATATGTTTAATAGGAAGTTTGGGAATCAAATCTCAATGACACTTTTTGTCAACTCTTGAATTTCTGGAATGAGAGATTTTTTTTGAAAGTGATTTACAGATTTTGATAATTAATTAGAAAAATTTCAATAAAATTATGCAAGATAATCTATTTTATAAAAAAAATATGAAGATATTAATACAAATTAAAAATCTGGAGAGCTGGGTATCATCTCAAGTTTATTTGGGATAGGGCAAAAAGTTAGTAGCTTGCACTTGATGGAGAATAGAAAAAATTATTCTAAAGCCTAATTTTATTAAAATAATATATTTTATTTTGCTTATAATTTTTAAATGACTTGCTACGATTATTCATTCTTAAATACGATTTATTTTTCATATATTTTGTGTTTATTGCTATAATAATAAAATCATGAAACCGAAATCTTTATCTTTATTGGTTATTTCATAAAACATATTTATGGATTTTGAAAATCGTGCCTGAAAACCTTAAAAAATTAGAACCGGACCTGCCCTGGGGCTAATTTGGACTTGCCGGGTCGTCATTTAATGAAGATTTTAAAAATAACTATAACAATAAAAGATAAAATACACTTGCCCATAAAAATAAAACAACTAATCTTATACATATATTATGACGAATTCTAATAATCTTTATTTTCAAAAAATCCATCAATTATTTGGGTAAAAAGCCACAATTTATTTCTTCAGCCATCTTGTCAGAGCATTATGGAATTTTTTCGGATCTTAGCCTCGATCGTTCTCGTTTTTTGATCAATAATATGTCAATATCGCATTTCAATCAGGCGATTTCCAGTGATTGCAATTATGGTCAGCGTTCTGTCGATTTTTTATATTTTGACCAAATACCTGATACCGAACTGGTATTCACCATCAACGCCCAAAATAGGTATGTTATAAAACAATATAATAAACGTAAGTTATAAAGTTAGTTTGCAATGCAAAATATTAAATAAGTTATGAAGACTGAAGTATATTTAAAAGTTATTTTTTCTAAAATTCGAAATGATTTATATTTAAACTCTATACATATATTATATGTTCTTTTTTAAAAGAACGGAGTGAAGTAAATTAAAAAAAAATTATTGGATTTCAAAACCTACCAATATTTACACGCTTGTATATTCATTTGTTTTGAACATAGATTTCAAATACTGACCGTTCTCATATACCTCTACAATTTATTCCTGGCCGAATATCCTTTGAGATCTCTTAAGTTAGCCTGTATGGTCGTTGTTAAGTAAAAACTTGTATCATTTATAGATAGATTACAAAATTTAATATAGAATACATCTTACTTATGACGTTTCACAAGTCGATCAGAAATTTAACATCGTTTTTATAAAATATAATAATTATTCATTCGATACTATTTGTTTAATCTGGGGTAAATAGTTTGTATGAATTATATATTTTATAATTAATTTTGACATGAATCAATACAAGATTACCCGCGCAGTGCTGCTAATTTATTTTTTATTTTTAGACCCTTTCCTAATTTTAAGGAGGGTTTGAGCCCTTTGCCAAAATATTTCAACATTTTTTCAAAAAAATTTGAATCCCCTTTCACTTTATCTTGATTTAAAATTTTTATATATTTTTAGTATTATTTTATAGCCACATAGAAGATGAAACAAAAATTTTATTTTTCAATATTTTTATTTTCAACTAAAATAAAAATTTTAATTTCTCACATTTTAACAATTTTTATAGATTTTATAAAAAATTATCAGGTTAATAAAGGTAAAAGAATATTTTTTTGAAAATATTAAATATTAAAAAAGAGGCGAATAAAATCGGTACTCTTTAGAGAAGAATGACAGGTTTTAAAATTTTTACTTTATTTCAGGGGCCTTAACTCCACGGGGGTAATTATTTATCCAGAAAATTATTTTTAAACTTTTGAGATTGTACAATTCCTTCTGATAAAAGTTAACAAAAGGGAGACTCTTTAGTTCCTCTTATCTTTAGCTTAGGCATACATAACCTAATCAATTCTTTAAAAAAACTCTTTTAACCTACATTAATATATGGTATCTGTAGATGACACCATCTGCGGAATAGCTAAAAATATATACAGCAATAGATTAAGAGTTGAATTCTCTAAAAATAGATCTTACTCTTCTTCTCCGTTCAATAGCGATTTCCAGATTTATCCAGGTTGGCTTGTTTCCCCGATTTAATCATTAGGATTTGTAGCAAGGTTTTTGCTCGGATGCCCTTCCTAACATCAACTCCTTAAGGTGGTTTTTACACCCAATCGAGGAGACGGTGATCCTATTCTAGACCCATACCACAGGGAACCTTTTAGAACTTTATTAGCCGCCAAAAGACGTAGCCACTACCCCTCCACGATGAGGCTGAAGGTTGAATTTTAGGGGAAAATATGCCTTACTCTAAATATAGCTAAATCTGAAATATGTTTTTTAAATTCAAATTCCTGAGGTTTATAATTATTAAAGAAAGTGAAATAAAACTTGATTCACCTTTAAACAGTTATTCCAACTGTGAGGTGTTCATGGATTTTTTTTAAAAGGATTATTATGATTGGAAAATATTTTAAGACGAAAACCTTCACAGCAAAGTTTTTTTCTTCTAAAAAAATATTTATTTTTACCAAAAACTTTACATTCTCTTCTTTTTTTTAAAATAATTAAATTATTAATTGTTTATGAATTTTTTAAAATATTTTAGAAAATATTTTAATTTTAACTGGGGCATCTCACAATTACCCTCGAAAATGGGAGGTTTAGATTTGTATCTTTCTTTATTTTTGACATTACGTTTGATGATCAACGAATGATATATTCTTTTATCACTCCCTAAGAAAGCTTTTAAATATGACCTTGACCGATTGGAAGTCTCTAGCATTACCTGAAGATGTTATATCCACAGTTTTAGCACACCAATCAATTTTTGAACCTATAATGAAAAAAAATTTAAAACACTCCCCCTTTTGAGTATGTTTAACTATTACAAAATGCTGATTGTAATAATGATTATGAATGGTTGGAAGCAATACCAAGTTGTAACCTAGGTAACCTTTTATCAGATGAACAATTAAAAGTTACCATAGGCCACCGATTAGGATGTAACACCTTTAAATCACATAGCATAAAATGTAAAATAAAGGTTGATTCCAATGGAAAACATGGTCATAATTGATTGAGTTATTGGCCATACTCTTACTAGGGCTCAAATACCGAACATCCTGGAGCCTGTCAATATATAATCAGATATGGCCTGAAGTTAGTTAGTTTAAATTCGGTATATTGTTTAGGTCAATCCTTAATATGGGACTTCATATGGGTCTCTTCATTTCCAAGAAATGTTAACTCTAATCCATTGATATAGTCGAGAAAAAAAATTAATATTAGAAATAAACAGATTATGTTTTTTACCAATCGTTATCGCTTCCCATAGACATATGCAAACCCGTGTAAGTGTGAAAGTAAAAACTGAGATTTTAAAATCTCACACCATCAAAATCTCACGGCTAATACCGTGTGAAAGTGAAATCATGAGATTTTGATTTTTATCACATCAAATATATTTTTTTGGGGGAAGGGGGGGGGCATTTAAAATTCCAAAATCTCTCGGCTATTCAATATTTCAAAATCTCATGGATTTTTTTTAAAATCTCACATTATGGAATTCAATACGTATAGCTTAAATTGCCTCAAATTTAAAACGGATTTAAAATAAATTACGATGTTCAATATAACCACAGAAATGATAAGTATGATAAATAATAATATTTTTGCATGAAATTTTTATAAAATATAATTTTAAAATTTATATAGATAAATTTTTATCAATAAATCGCCGGGGTGGCCTAATGGGTTAGATGTATGCCTGGAAACAGAAGGACGGTTCAATCCTGGTAAGGATCATAAAAACTTTCAAATTTTTCTTCGATGACTGATGTGTAAAGACATATGGTAAGATGAATTTCGGAGCTTAGAGATGACACACCGGTCATCAACAGGCCTGGACAGCCGGGTGCTAAGGATACTTATCCAATAAACAAAATGAAGGAAACAAATGGAAATATGAATACGAAAGCTAGGGCGTTCCCTCCAAGCGACGCGCAGGGTGTAGACCGCCATCCTATGAAAAGTAAAGTAAAGGTCAAAGCAAAGAAGACAAGATTAGCAAGTTTGAATATTGGGACGCTTAAAGGTAAGACGAGAGAGTTGGCATCAATGTTGAACAATAGAAAAGTTGATATAGCGTGCATACAAGAGACGAAATGGAAAGATAAGAAGACTTTAATGATTGGAAATGGGTATAAATTGTACTATAATGGAATTGTTAGCAATAGGAACGGTGTCGGCATCATCCTCAGTCAAGATCTAACCTCCTCAGTAGTAGAAGTCAACAGGATCTCTGATAGACTAATGAAGATAAAACTGCATTGGTCAATCAATACTACACATCCTTCAGTATATGCTCCTCAAACAGGTTGCAAGGAAGAAGAGAAAGATGACTTTAGAGCTATCCTTGATGTAGCTGTAATGGAAATCCCTAAATATGACCTAGTCATAATTGGTGGTGACATAAAGGCACATGTGGGGAAAGCAAGAGATAGCTACAAAAGGCATCATGGTAGTTTTGGATATGGAGAAAGAAATGATGAAGGAGAACACGTACTGAAATTTGTGCAAGCCTTTGACCTTGCCTTAACCAACACTTACTATAGGAAAAAAGACCATTTTATAACATACGAAAGTGGTACAAGGAAAACACGGATAGATTGCGTGCTAATCTCTCGCAGAAGATTAAAAGATGTAATAGACTGCAAAGTCATCCCAGGAGAAGATATCGCCGCACAACACAAGCCACTAGTCAAGGATTTACACATCTCAAATAAATCCACTCAAAACAAGATATAACTGGAACCATGCATCAAATAGGGCAAATTAAAAACAATGACCGATGCCTTTGCAATCAATGCAAACATTGAAACAAAAGATTCCTCACAAGTCTATGAAAAAATGTGGACAGATCTTTCATCCAGATTAATAGACACTGCCAAATCGACACTAGGCTTGACAAGGGGAGGCAACAAATCATACAAAGAACTATGTTGGTGGAATGAACAGGTATTAACCACTATAAAGGAGAAAAAAGCCCTATATAAAATATGGTTCAAATCCAAAAACTCAGATGACAAGACAAATTACAAAAAATCCAAGAGAATAGCTACAAAGGCGGTGGTTAGGGCCAAATCTATGGCATACGATGACATGTATGAAAAACTACATACCAAAGAAGGGCAAAATAAAATATACAGATTAGCCAAACAGCGAGAAAAGAACTCTAGGGATATAAACGGAGCTCCGAAAGTAATCAAAAATAAAGATGGGAAATTGATAATAAAGGAAAAAGAAATAATGAATAGATGGAAAGATTATTTTCAGGAGCTTCTCAACTTTAATCCCCCATATTACATCTAGACGAACACTCCCCATGTCAAAACCTTGTACAACCTATAACAGAACAAGAAATAATTACATGCCTCAATCATATGAAAAACAACAAAGTTAGGGGTAGACGATATTCCAATAGAAATCTTTAAAGCACTAGGAGATGATAAATCTATACACAAAAATACCTGGAAATGAAGAGGTTCCCCAAAAATGGAGGCAGAGCTATCTAGTTCCTATCTTCAAAAATAAAGGGGATCCACACAATTGTCAAAATTACAGGGGTATAAAACTAATGTCACACTGTCTAAAACTATACGAAAAAATAATAGAAAAAAGATTAAGAGACATAATCGAAATAGAAGAGACTTAGTTTGGCTTTATGCCTGGATAATCAACAACTGATGCTATCCACGCAATTAGGCAAATGAGTGAAAAATACAGGGAAAAGAACAATAAGCTACACATGGTCTTTCTCGATCTTGAAAAGGCCTTCGATAGAATCCCAAGAAAACTTATCTGGTGGGCGCTACGCCACAAAAAGGTTCTTCCCGAAAAATATATAAGAATATACAGGATATGTATATGGGCCATACAACAATGGTCCGTAGCACAATAGGTACTTCAGCAGGCTTCACAATAGCCGAAGGAGTTCATCAAGGGTCGGCTCTCAGTCCACTTCTCTTCATTACAATAGATGTATTAGCACAGTCTATACCTCAAACAGTCCCAAGGAATATTTACTTATGATTATGTTTGCCGGATCCAAGGATGAAATGAAAGAAAGATTAGTGAGTTGGATAAATATCCT